TGATAAAAAAGAATGCTTTAAGCTAGAATAAAACAGATTTTTTTTGTTTAAAAGTAGAGGCTCTGATCTTTATTTTATTACATACAGCAAAATATTCTGGAGGCCATCAAATTTTAGTGAAAATCATCAAAATCGCTGGCGGTGGCTGGCAACTTTTTTCAAAAATGCTGGCGGGGAAAGAGCTAAAATACATTAGCTCATCCATGAACATGATTTCTGCCCGAGTCCCGTCGGATTGCTTCGGCTGTGGGGATGAAGACGACAACTCCCATGATTCCACACTCAGTCACTGCGTCATCAAACTACGCCTTTGTTTCTTTGTTTGTTTTGAATACGCGCCCTCTAGCGGCGAAAAATTACATATTGTGCCTTTAACCGTTTTTCATAGTATTTTTTTTTTTATGATTTTTTTACTTAAAACAATACATTTACTTCACCGTATAATACTGTTAGGTATAACACTATCGTTCAGAAATTTGGGATTGTTAAGACTGTTTAATATTTTTGAAAGTAGTCTTGTATGCTCAATCTGGAATTATTTGATCAAATATACAGTAAAAACGGTAATATTTTGAAAAAAATTTATGAATGTGATGACAAAGTTGAATTTTCAGCAGCCAATACTCCAGTTTTTCACATGATCATTCAGAAATCATTGTAATATGCTGATTTGGTGCTCAAGCAACCCTCTACGAACACCTTGGCAATTGAATCGCCATTGGCTAGTACATTTTTTAGTTTATATATATATATAAACATATATATATATATAATACTGTATATGTTTGTAAAAGGGCACAGCTTTTTAAATATCTGAAAGTACACTCTTAACATCAGTCGGTAAAGCATTATAATATGATATTAGGATAATCAAGTATTATTTAATGATAGAACTTTAGTAATTAGAATTAAAACTTGGTAACCTTGTATGAATGAATAGACATTTTAACTGAATTTAGGACTGGTGGTGGTGCTTTTTTGGTCATTCAGTGTTTCCGGAAAAAAATGGGAAAAAACTAACAATAATACTGATAAGATAATAAAAATAATACGAATTCTACTAATAAGAACAGTATAAAATGCAGTATATTAATCAGGTCGTGCGCTTCACACTAGAGTTCACGGTACGTTAAACACAGTTGCGCTGCGCATCCATTCAGATGAGCTGAAAAATAGCTCAGATCGCTTGACGGAGAGAGAACTCTGAAGCGATCACTCAGAGTTTTTTCAGCGAGTGAAAATATATCTATGCTAAACTTATACTTAACCTCCAACTCGCACACTGGCGAGTAACATCTGAGAATTTATTAGCCATTGGCTAATATTAGACATCATTTAGTCTCCTAGAGTGAAGATTTAGTTGCATATGCAAGTGATTTACTTGCAATGTAGAGGGTTGACAAGAAACATTATTATCTTCAATGTTTAAAACAGTTGGGCTGCTTAATTTTTTTTTGTGGAAACAGTAATAAATTTTTGATAAAAGAAGTACAACAGTTATTTGAAATACAATTTTTGTAAGAATGTAAATGTCTTTACTGTTGCTTTCGATCTATTTGATGCATCTTTGCTGAATAAAAGTATTCATTTCTTTTTTCTTTTTTTTTTTTTAAATCTTAACTGACCCTAACTTTCAACCAGTATTGTATTTTCACCATAAATTATAAAGTAGTTCATACTTATAAGAACCATAATTGATAATGTCATATTCCAATAAAATTACATGTATTGTCATATTAAATTAAATGTACTTTACCATATATTGTATGATAATGTAGTTAACTGATTTGCAGAATTTTGATTAGTAGAATTTTTACATTCTTTTTATTAGGGATGCACCGATAGGACTTTTTTTGACCGATACCGATTTTAACAAACAACTATTGGTCGATTCCGATACCGATATTGGTCAATTGCATAAAGCAGGGGTTAAAAACTAACAACAACAAAAAACGATCGGTTCCTTCCGAGCAGAATTGGTATTTGAACGTTTCTGTTCCTGTGTTCCTCTGTATTATTACCATTCCGAAACCTGTTTGAGTAGAAAAAATACTGGTTAATAACGTTATTTTTAAAACTTTTTCTTTGCCTATAATAATAATAATAATAATAATAATAAAGTACAGCGTTTTCTTTACTCAAAAAGAAAAAAAAAAACACGAGGGTCTTGAGGGTCTTGACTATCTTGCGTTTAGTCATAGCCAATACAGCATAATCTTTTCTAGATTTTGACCAAATGTATTAAACAAAAGAAAATACTGTCAATGCTTTAAAGACGTTAAAAGTAGGCATATTTTTTCAATATATTTAAAAATGTTTGCAGCATGAATAAAAAACGCTACTCCTATAAGCGTTTTGAGAGGAAAAAAACTGCCTAAATTTGTAGGCTGTACGTCGCATTTTATTATTAATATATTATTATTATTTTATTATTATCATTCAGAAATAATGTAGGCTAAAACACCGGTAAATAAAGCAAAATATTTACAAACATTACAAACACAATTAGGTTATTTTAGTTCCCTACTCTCCACAACAAATCCTCTAAAGTTGTAAGCCAAAACGAATTAATTTAAAAACAAAACTGAAGCCTACCTCTCTAATTCTGTACGAATCCAAATGTTTCCATATTCACAACGTATCTGGATGCTAAAATATTATTTATTATGTAAACTATAGGCTTTATTCTTCACTCGCATTTTCGACATAAAACATCATCCTTTACATAGGCTATAACAGCACAGTGAGGCGGTGGTTACGCTAAACGGCACAGACTGTACTACGGACTATTTAAATTGAGCAGTGTAACTTTTTATGTATCTTTAACTGTATTTTATTTTGATAATGAACAGGCTGCGATGTCAAGTTAGCAAAAATGTGTTGTATGCTTGATGTGAACTTGTGAATCCGTGTTCTACACAATCCTGCCATTTTTGCTGGTTTCAAACACACAAAAAGCTGCATATTACCTGCCATTCATTTTCACTTAAATGTAGGCCTAGTGCTTAATTGGCGGTTCGTGACATATCCTCAGATAGACTAACTCCGGGGCATTGCCATTGCGACTTAACGTTACCTATGATGCATTTTCAGCTGAGCGGGCGTTTCACTGGTTGGATGCGTCAGCATCACATTTGCATAGGCCGTATACTATGCTGTCTGACAAACTATATTTTGTACAAATTTTATTTTGTTTTGGCAAGTATTTAATTATTTTGCCCAGAGAAAAACATTGGATTATGCAACAGACATGCAACTCATTGTCTCCATGCAGTTAATTAATAAACCATCGGTATCGGCCCTTTTCATGCTATTTCCGATATGCAGATGGCTTTAAAAGAATCAAAAATCGGGCGATATATATCGGCGGCCGATACATCGGTGCATCCCTACTTTTTATAAAACTTAAAACATTTTGTAGTAATGAATGCGCTGGTGACTTTTAGTAAACATCAGTTTTTATATCTAAAAGTTAATTGAGGAGTGCCCATATTGAAAGAAATCCACTCAGAACAAAGTTCTTGTTTTTCTTTTTCCCCAAATTTCCTTAGTAACATTCTGAAAAAAGTTATTAAGCATTACGAGCAGCTGTTCCACTCAAAGAACACAGCAAAGAAAATATCTTAGTTTTTTCCTGCACGGCAAAAAAGGAAATGTTTTTGTTTATTCAGTTTGTTAGAAGAGACTACGGTGGCCGAGAAGTGCAAAGCAAATCACAATTCTGAAAACAAAATAACAAATTACAAACGCAAATGCAAGTCTACAAAACAAAATAACAATTCAGAAAGCACAACA